ACACTAGGACGGCTGTACCAACAGTACCTCTTTGGTCAAACCTTTCGGTTGTCCTAGGACCTCCCCCATCGCCAGTATGACCTTCGTTCTACGTTTTATGGGTCTTTGTCAAGTCGCATACCCTTGAAAGGCCTGTGTCGTTGGACACAGTCACCCCTACTCTTCTACGCGTTTTCGAATTTTCTTACACTTGTGTAACAGAGATAATTATTTATCTTAGAGAGAAGACGTGTGTAAGCGTGTTTGGAGCCTTGGAAGGGGTTCAGTTTTCAGTATCGGATGCCTCGCTGACAGTCTATAAACGTATTAACAGCTCGTCAGCTGATCCCGGCCGGTAGCAGTTGCTCGGTACACTTTTGCGGATGTCCGGGTCAGCCGTCAGAGAGAAGATATACGACGTCGTATTAGCGTAACAAATTCGGCTATCCGCAGCGAGACATTAAGCGAAGGATTACTGATACCTACCGCCAGAGGTGACGGCTAACAAAGCACCCTTTTTTTTCAACCCACCGCGATTATTCCTTTCTGAAAAAAAAGGAGAAGACGGGAGAAAACGGGAGGGAGGGAGGTAAAGGAAGTTTCGCGTCTTTCGGCGGAAATTACGATGGCACGAAATCTCTAGTTTTCGGCGTTGGAACAGTTGCCCTTTGCGCGGGAGGGCTCGAGGATTGAAACTGGTCGGAGTTGCTGCTGATGCGGGTTTACAGAGGGAACTTGCCTCCGCTCGTTGTACTATAATTATTCCTCGAGCGTTGTTTCAGTAAAGCGAGCCGGGGGATGAAAGGAAGGCGCATTTACTTTTCCCAAGACAATTAATCAAGCTTCGGGCTCCGCGGAGACGCGTATGATTTAATTCCGCTCGGATCGGAACCGGTATTCAAACGTCAGCGCGAAGTTGGTCGCTCGACGGTAACTGGAATCGTGTAAAACAGATTCACCAATAAATCTCGACGGCTCGCGACGCTTGTAGGAGGGGTAGAAGGTGGCCGGGCTCGGTGTGTTCGCACGACTCTAATTTGTGGATCGTTCGCTAAAAGGAAACTACGTCGTCTACAGGATGGGAGAGAAGAATTTATAGATACCCTAATACCGAAAACTCACTGTGAATATTTCGCGAACAGGCCCAGCCTCGGGGGTGATAAATTCTCCAACTGGCCGACCAACGACTGTGTGGCCAAACTGGCCTGATAATTTTTCGACCGGCATAAATCAGCCCAAGTTGAGCGAACGCTGCTGAAATTATCATTTTCGTCACTACGTTATTGCTGTTAACTAGTTGGGCAATAATCGTATTTCGTTTTATGCAACAACCATTTCACAGCTTCTGTATTATTTCATTCGATATCGCCAGTGGTACAATTAAATGCTCGTACCTCCTAATGCGATTGAAATTCTGTGTTAATGAATTTACAACATCTATTTGTTATATACTAGATATCATGTTCATAATTAACGACTCGATAATTATTCATACACTTCGTACTAAATTCTGTAATTTTGTAGATCTTCTCGTAACGTTCGTCGAATTCTATGTTTCTCTTTTATAAAAATATATACATAAACGTTTTATGATATTTACAATTCAATGGCGTAGACGCATGTGGAAAATATTTCAGAATGACAGGAATCTCCGTTCACGTCTACACGTCAGATTCATTTTTTGACAGGTCAAAAGATCCTGCAGAAGTATCCAGTGATGGTGTTCATCCACGGGGAGAGTTTTGAATGGAACAGCGGGAATCCCTACGACGGTACTATATTGGCAGCCTACGGTAACGTCATCTTCGTTACTATCAACTTCCGCCTCGGCATCCTAGGTAAGTAACTCCCATGAGCGTAATGTCATTAAAAATCCCTAACGGTTACGTCGGACGGTATGAAACGACTGAAAAAAGTCGATCACGGTTACAACGTTTCCAGCAGTTCTCGGTAACTGGATGCGAGTCAGCGGCGCGTTCGCCGTGATTTTTCCGTGAATTCAGCGGCGAGATCAAAAGGTAGCGTGGGAGGCGCGGAGACAAGAGACGGGATGCACATCGAATCGAATATAATCGTTCCGGATTCGAGATCCGGGGGAAATGTGGAACAAGCGCTGCGCCGTCGTCGTCTGCGATACGAATTTATGAAATCTTGCGACGACGACGGCGGCGGCGGGACGGCAGCGTTGCATGAAATCAGGAATTCTGCTTCATTAACATTCGCGCTTCGCTGCGCCATTGGTTTTTGATCTTCGACTAACTCCTTTTTATTTCCACCCCGCGCCCGGCCCAACTGTTTACGCGTTTCTCATCGCGTGCCGAGACGACGACGACGACGAAGATATCTTCCCTCGATATCTTCTACAGTCTGCTCGTATAAATAACGCTACTCGCTCTTAGGCAGTGAACTTCCACTGGCGGCGAACTTCGAATCTTTACTGCGCCGACCTCCGCGTATTGAGTTAATATTCGCGCGAGTTCGTACCGACGGAAATCGTTCCCGGACCGAACTGCAACTTTCGAATATTTTACGCGACTAGACGTTTGATTTATCCGTCCCGAAGTCGGAGACCTATTAATGTTATTACTAGTAAAGTATTTTATTCGGCCGTTCGACCGGATCGTCGCTCGATAAAGATATGATTTTATTTTAACGGCTAGTTTTACGTTCGAGGCCCCTCCGTCCCAGTTTCCTCAATCCTTTTCTGGTGTACAATTCGCCTTCTTTCAAATGATAACGCAGCCTCTCTGCGTGGAACGCGAATGGACGCGTGAGCTACACGCCGCATCCGACTTTTTAAAAGAAGAGGAGGGATAAAGCAACCGGGCGGGGGAGGGACGTAGGGAAAAAAAGGAAGAGCCTCTGCCGCGAAACCATAATCATAAATTAGGTTAAAGTGCTGGGAAGGTACTTAGTTAACTTCACCCTTTCCCCGTCGCATTTGTTCCTGCTCGGCTACAGTTAACCGGGATAACTTCAGTCCCTTGCAACACAACGGAGAAAAAATATGGATAGCGGCTTAAAAAAGAGGAGAGAAACTGCTTTACGTACTAGTCTGATTCTTTGGTGTGTAGGCTGGAATTTATTAACAGCGTACATTCCGCGGGACAAATAAATGATACCGGGTACAATGTTATTATTTTATGAACAATCAACCCCGAGTGGTTGTTACTTCTCTCTTCTTTTTTTTTTCCACTGCTGCAAGTTTATGGTTTGAGATGTTTGATAAGCAGAATTTGGACGCAGGGTTCTTGAGGCCGGGAACGAGGGACGATACGGCGAGCAATTTCGGTCTGCTGGATCAAATAGCCGCTCTCCTTTGGCTGAGGGAGAACGTCGCCGATTTCGGTGGCGATCCAAACAGCATCACGCTTGTTGGCCACGGTACAGGCGCCATTTTTGCTAACCTCCTGCTTATCAGCCCGGTGGCTAATAAGAAAGGTAACGGTTATTGCTGCGTCGCGTGTTTGCGACTTCTGCGACGTCTGCATATTAAGGGGACGCTTTACTGCGGGAAGAACATGTAACCTCCATTTTCGCGGGCACGATAAGGCCCTTCGGAATCCACCGTATCGATTCAACGTATCATTCATTTTTATGAAAGATTAGGCGAGTTCTGGGAAGATCGATGCACTTTTCATAATCATGCATTTCGGTGAACGCACGTCTTAAGTAGTATAAGACGTTTATAGTCAGACATTTCAGTTTTTATAAATAGACTGCGGAATTTATACTCATAGAAATATTTTACATAAAAATTCACGGTCTAACTGTAAAGCTCGAAGAAAAAATAATTACATTAGCAAAGGGTTATTTTTCAATCATGTCAGAGAATATGAACGCAGTATCGCGGCGTCCGGTCAATAATTATATCGCCCAGTGAAAAATAGCTGGATTTAATATTTCACGGCTGGAGGCAGGCTGGTTATCCTATAGGACGTGTGCCATTAATCGTCCTTCCATCTTTCGTAGGTCTGTTCAAGCGAGCTATACTGATGTCCGGATCAGCGTTGAGCGCTGACGCGATTGGGAAGGCACCGATGCAGATCACTAAACAGGTGAATCCACATTAATCAAAATTAATGTTACCAGCCGTTGAATCAGATCATTATAAAAACTACGTAATGTTTGAAAATCAGATTAAGACCGTCGCGTGTTTACGAGCGGAGCTCGGGTTTCTAGAACCCTTGAAAGAAACACGTAATAGCAATTTCCACGGAACCTGTAAAACGCGAATTACACTTCTGGGCTTGGGGTTTAATGACTGGACGTTGAGAACGTCATAAAAAACAGGTTAAAGATTTACAGCGTTTCGATAAAGGCCTAAAACGAACGTATATATATATCGTCGGAAAAGGGAAAGTGCCGGGTTGGTGTTCAGCCACGCGTGGGGAGAAATGTTTCAATTCGGCTTGTCTGATACCTTCGCCGACGGGTGATCGATATCGTATTCCTTGTCAGGCGTGTTTCGCGTATGCCCGAACGTTTTGCTTCCGTTTCGAAACGGTGCAACGAAGAAATATCGCTGTTCGGTTGCCAAGGTGCTCGGGGTCGCTCATTGGGCGTAGCTGAGAAATAGTCGAGAATCATTTTTCAGGTGGCACACGCCTTGGACTGTCCTACCACCACCGACAGCGAGCTCGCGTTCTGCTTGCGCGGCTTGTCTGTAGATGCGTTATTGAACGTCGAGGTTCACAAGCCCACTTACGTTCCTGCGTACGCGCCGTTAATTGACAATGCTGTGATTCCTGACAAGCCTATCAATTTAATGAAGAATTCTCAATTGTTCGGCAAGTAAGTTCGTTCGAAATAAAAATTCGTCATTTATCTAATTTCTGTTCACAATTTTTATTCACTGGCTGATGGCTAATTTACTTTTATATTATACACTTTTATTATATTATACACTTATATTATACACTTTTATATTTCTCCATTCGATGAATGATTTTGATAGTTTTAATGATAAAGGGAAGAATGCCAGTGAGTAGAAATTGGGTCATTCGCTGTACTCGTTGAAAGAATATTTTCTTAATGCTGATATTAAATGGTTTTAACAGATACGACCTTATGTACGGTGTGACCGAGTCGGAGAAGTTTCACGCGCTGCCGCCGATCGCATTGCTGCACGGCATGCTGGACGATCAGAGAGACGAAGTGTTAAGGGAACACGCGAAGGTACTTGCTCGCAGCACTCTTGAACTGTCAATTTCTTGTTCCCCGCCCGTGGACCCGGAGAATTGCCTTTGACTGTGATTTATTGGAAAAAGAAATTGGTATACACGAGTGTCGCCGCGCGGAGTTTTCGGGGCCCGGGAATATTCGCGCACGGACAGATATTGAATCCGGCGAAATTCACTCGACGCAACTCGGGAGAGAGGGGCTGGTAACAAAGTGACGCGATATTTCTTGGTCGGCAGGCAACGCACGAGCTCGACCCGGAACTAATTCTCTCGAAGATTCTCGAACAATACGGCGACTTCTCCGCCGGATATACAGGCGAGTACATCTTGAAGAATCGCGATCTCGTGCTAGACGCGCTATCCGACGCCGGTACCGTAGCTCCATTAATATTGACGGCGGATCTGCATTCAAGGGCGAATCCCAAGAGCTACATGTACGTCTTCTCGCATCCGAAAGCCACGCAGGATTACTCGGGCGTAAGTACGTTTTTCCTCGACTCCAACCCGTCTGAAATAATGATGAAAATACTCGGTAGCTACAGAATTTTGGCTCGTTTGCCTGATTTTAAGTAACATAACGTTTACATTCCATGGCAAGCTTTTTTTTTTCCCCTATCCTATTAGGTAAATTTTTTTACGAACGAATTCATTCTTCGTAAAAACTGGAAAACAATGGAAAACAGAAATAAAAGCAAATCATATTCTGACTGCTTGGAAAACAAGAATACAGTCGAAAATATTCTGAATCTCGTATAACATAACACAGGCAAAATTACTTTTTCTTCCTTCATATTGAAAAACCAAATGAACCTAAATCGATGAACTGCAGATTTTATACATCTACAGAAAAACTGAGTGTGCAGAAAATATAAAGACAGCATCTGACGTATAAAAATATATCAAACATCGAAAGCTGTTTGCACGTTACAATACTGAATCAATGAACGACATATTTATTTAAAGAATTTTTTTAATTAATATTATAAATCTCTCATCTTACGAAGGATTTTTCCATTCATATCCAGCAGTGCTAAAACAAACATCTATTCCTATTAACAATGAGATCAGTCTTTGACAAATTACTATTGCGCAGATGTAATATATTTCGAAATAAATCATATTTATTAAGGGGATGAGAAGATTTCCTTCGTTTCATAGCTGCGCGCGGAGAAGTTAATGAAATCTGAGCTGGTAAGATTCGTGTCTCGAATCGGTGAATGTAGTGATAATAGTGGAAGCAGCTAGGCTGACAAATTCATCCGGGTCATGGATCGGGCAGAAATATTAAGGGATCGCATAAATCACCGGTGACGGTCCTCCGTTGGAAAGTGGAGCACGTACGATTAGACGGTGTACTTTGCATTTTATTCATTTTCGTGCGACGACGTGAGACGACGCGACGAACTCCTCGCCGGAAACAGGGAGCGTGACCTACTAGTAGTTCCGTTGGTCGATCGTGCGCGAACGAGGGGGGAGAAAAATCCCGGCTACGAGGCCCATTTGGACGGTGTCCAACTATTTTTATCGGCGCTGCGTGCCGGCCTGTTACGCTTCGTCGAAGAGTACACTGACCGGCTGCTCTTAAACCGAATCTAACAATCCTCCTTCTTTTCAGCTCCGATTTACAGGTCTGAGTCATCACACATCTTTACGAACGATAAACGTTTCTTCTACCAATTCTTCGAACGCTTCCCTTCGTTAGGATAAAAAATTAGCTTATTAACCACTTGAGCAACAATTTATTTTCAATCAGCACTTTAAAAACAGGAAAGTTTATGACGAGCTGGACTCGTCATTTCCGTTCAAGGGGTTAAATTTAGAAATACATTTATAAAATTTTATACCCGAAATTGGATAAATTCAAAATTGAAGAGGAGGATTCTTCTATCCGGTAGAATATTTACAGACATATTGACGGTCCAGTTAATCGATTATCTGAAACGGTGGCACAACAAAGGGGTTGAAGTTAGTAGAGCAGCGTAGAGAGGGGCGGAAGTTAATAACAACGGTCGCGGTTACGGCGAGGGTCTCTCTCTTGACCGTTCTTCTGGACCGCGAAATTTTGGCCGAGGAACTTCGAGCGAGCCAAACCAAGTGCATACATCGAACCCGTGTGTTTGCAGCAACAACGTCAGCGCACCGTGCACGGCGAGGAGCTGCCCTACGTGCTGGGTGTGCCCCTGGACGGGAGCAAATACGACTCGCGACGCCGATACAACATCGGGGAAACTCTCTTCTCCGAGGCAATGATGAACTGGTGGTGCAGCTTCGCCTACGTCGGGTGAGTCATGTTATTCTCGTCCCGCGCGCTCTTCCCGTGAACTTCGCAAAAATTATTTCATCGTATACTTTTTCCAAACGATTTTTATTCTCGAAGATAAATAAAATCTGGGATAGATTAACACTAGAAAGACTGAAACTTAGTATATACCTATAT